GCAAATAATCAAACCGTTGCAGTGTTTTTGAATCTTGCGCTGATAACGTTTTGTTTAGAAAGAAAACAAATTTGGTTAAAATAGTTTAAATGGAAAGTGAGCAAAGATAATATTTGGTGGATTTCTAGATTTTTCTATGAGTAATTTTATTTTTCTTACTGTTTATTTATGAATAATAACTTGTTATTATATAAGATAAAAAAAAGTCGTCAAAAAAAAAAATAATAATAATAATAAACAGCAAATGTAAAATAGCGTTTTTAGATAACATTTTCTTATGAAGTTAATTTTTTTAGCCAAAATTTCGGTTTTAGTTTTGGTTAAATGTTTGCCAAAATGTCTTATTTTTAATGGTTTGAATTAATATTTAAAAACCCCCTCTCGTGGGCTAGTTTTGGACAATGATTAGCTTCGTTTTTCAGGAAAAAAAAGCAACTTATTTATCCAGAAATAGCTAATAATAACAGGCTAGTGTATGTATTGATGTAAGGTAAAGATAACTAGAAAACAATCAGTATTAGAAACAATCGCGAAATAATGTTGATGAGTGATACTGGTCTGTTAGCCGTTTTGACGCTGAGCCATTAACAACGGAACCATTAACGAGGCTGTCTGGGTTATAATATAACTTGTAAGTCAATATATTCCTTATTTATGTCAAATACAGCACTTTTTAACTCACTATTTTTCTTTTTCAACTTACACTCTGCATATGCATCCAGCAACAAAAAAAAATATTTTATATATCCCAACTTCTTTATCGTCTTTTGTCTAACTCACATTGTCGGCTATTATTATTAAACAGTTCTGAAATTAAATTTTGATTTACCTCTGAACTAAAAGTTGATAATAATCTTATAAACAAAAATTTTTTTGAAACTATTTACTTTGCGTCCGAAAAGCCTGTTACAACTCAATTAATAATACTTTAATAAATCTTAATGCTTGAAAAGAAAAAAGAATTAAAACAAAATTATATAGACTAATATTAACAATCAAAAAGAAAATATTCGGTTGAAGCAGTTGTACGTTGCAATGCAAATTTTCGTTGAACTCAGTGATGCATTTTTATATAGTGGCTTACCGTCCGCGTTTTTTAATTTTATTTTAGAATACAACCCGCAATAACATAAGCGTGAAATGCTATTTATTAGGAAAATAATTTAGAATTACTGCAGAGATTAATTCATGTAATCTATTAGTAAACAGTTTGACAAAATGTTTATTTTACTTAATTGAGTCTTTTTGCATAAAAGTTGAGTACATTTATGTCAAAACATTTTTCAGATAGAAATCAGTAGTAAATACGCAAAACAAGCAGACCTCAATGTATTTAAAACTAGCAGTTCTTAATGTAATTAAAACAAGCAGATGCCAATGTTTAATCAAGCAGATCTCATCGTATTTAACTAGCAGACCTGAGTGTATTTAAAACTAGCAGATCTCAATGTATTTAAAACTAGCAGATCTCAATGTATTTAAAACAAGCAGATCTCATCGTATTTAACTAGCAGACCTCAGTGTATTTAAAACTAGCAGATCTCAATGTATTTAAAACTAGCAGATCTCAATGTATTTAAAACTAGCAGTTCTTAATGTAAATAAAACAAGCAGATCTCAATGTATTTAAAACAAGCAGGTCTCAATGTATTTAAAACAAACAGATCTCAATGTATTTAAAACTAGCAGATCTCAATGTATTTAAAACTAGCAGATCTCAATGTATTTAAAACTAGCAGATCTCAATGTATTTAAAACAAGCAGATCTCAATGTATTTAAAACTAGCAGATCTCAATGTATTTAAAACTAGCAGATCTCAATGTATTTAAAACTAGCAGATCTCAATGTATTTAAAACTAGCAGATCTCAATGTATTTAAAACTAGCAGATCTCAATGTATTTAAAACTAGCAGCCCTTAATGTATTTAAAACTAGCAGTTCTTAATGTAATTAAAACAAGCAGATCTCAATGTATTTAAAACAAGCAGATCTCAATGTATTTAAAACTAGCAGATCTCAATGTATTTAAAACTAGCAGATCTCAATGTATTTAAAACTAGCAGATCTCAATGTATTTAAAACTAGCGGCCCTTAATGTATTTAAAACTAGCAGTTCTTAATGTAATTAAAACAAGCAGATGCCAATGTTTAAACAAGCAGATCTCATCGTATTTAACTAGCAGACCTCAATGTATTTAAAACTAGCAGATCTCAATGTATTTAAAACTTGCAGTTATCTATTTATTTAAACGGTTCTGTATTTAAACTTTTAATTTTTTTTAATCTCGCGTTATACTAGTTATCTGATATAACATTAATTTCATGATTTTTTTAAAATCAAAGATCATAAGTACAATTACTGAGATAATCTTCAGTATCTTTTCTCATTAACCTACCACTGTGATGTTAACAAGACTGATGTAAATAGATTTCATAAAAAAAGGACCAAAATAATTGCTTAGTTTTTCCTCATTTAACAGGTTTTAAATGATTTAATTGAATTCCACCTGATACTAACACTCCCTAAATAACAATAGGTGGACTTATCATTCTGGGCACTATGAGATATAGTAGCTGGAGTTGTCTTTCTGGGCACTATGAGCTTTAGTAGTTGGAGTTGTCTTTCTGGGCACTATAAGCTATAGTAGCTGGAATTGTCTTTCTGGGCACTATGAGCTATAGTAACTGGAGTTGTCTTTCTGGGCACTATAAACTATAGTAGCTGGAGTTGTCTTTCTGGGCACTATAAACTATAGTAGCTGGAGTTGTCTTTCTGGGCACTATGAGCTATAGTAGGGATCTTGGTTGCTGTAAAGAAAGACGTTGAAACATGCTTTGCAGCAAAGTTAAAAACTTTTTATTTAATCAACTTACGATTGAGTAGGTGATTTGTTGAGGCTATCAACGCATAAAAGCTGTTGACACAATATAAATCAAATATGCTTTCCAAACAGATTTAGATATAACTATAGGAGACCAAAATATGTGCTGAGCTAATAAGTACCGAATGCACTAACTTTGTTTTATAGACTTAATAACTTGCTTCAGTCATTTGTAGGCTTAAGTCTATAAATGTATAGCTTATTCTTGATCACAATTAGGCCAATGTGTAAAAGTAAACTAAATTGCCAATATAAATTGGCAATTTAGTTTACTTTTACAATAAATAGTTTAATTTTCTAGAATTGAAACATTTGAAAAAAATGTCTAGGAATAAGATATATACTAAAACTTATTTAAATTAGGTCTATAAATATACGCAAGAGTGTTATTTATAGCATTATTTCACACTGTCATATACCTTGCTAAACTCAAGGAAGACAAGGATTTATAAATAGGTGACTCTAACTTCTAATGAATACTCCTACAATTACTTTTTACAAAAGAAAAGTTGAAAATGTGTCTGTTTATTTCCCAGCTATCTTGGTTTTTAGTTAGTAATTCATCAATACCTCTGTGAGCGAGGTGGCAAAGGTGGACATGCTGCGTTCACTGTATGAATGAAAATGAAAATCTAAAAAAATGGTAGCAGTGGCTCTTTTTTTCCTCAATTGAAATGACATACGTTAATGTCCTCATAATTTAAACAGAAATAGCCCAGTAGGCACCGGACCAAAAAAAGACTTCTTTTGAACGTTCAAAAGACGTCCAAAACGTTCAAAAGACGTTTACAAAACGTCTTTTTCAAGTCCGTGCCCACTGGGAAACAACTGCAATGACAAAGTATGCTTATGCTGGAATATAGAAAATCACTGAGTTAAGGATTGGTAACTGTAAGTTGCTGTCCAGCTGCAAAAAAAGAAAGGCTATTCTTCTATGACTTCTGTCATAGAAGAATGGCCTTTCTTTTTTTTACCACCTAAAGAGTAGAAGAATGGTCAGTTTCTCAGTACCAAAAGTAACAAAATCTAGGAGCTCATAGGCCTGTTATTATAGTTTTTTTCTCAAGTATCCTGACAGTACTAAATACAATGCTATAAAATACACAAATAATTGAAAATAACTTTGTTACTATATTCATACTTTGTCAAAAGATTTTTTTGGCAAAAAGAATCTTTTGACAAAGATTAAATGTGTATGTTTAATCAATAGCTTTAATTTATAGGTTCTGCTTACCTACTGGTACGTTAAGATTTAAATTCGTACGTTGTTTTAAACTCGTATGTAATGATTTCAAATCGTGCCTTATGTTGTAAAAATCGTATGTTGTGCTTTGAATTCGTACGTTTTAACTCGCTATATTTTAAATGCGATTTTGAGAAGAAAATTTATTTGAAATTGCAAAATATAATTTTACATATTTCGTATTTTAAAGAAATTTCAGTTAATTATAGTTACATAATACTTGAATTTCCGACGGCCTGTGGGTTCGAATTTTCTTTATTCTACTTATATATATATATATATATATATATATATATATATATATATATATATATATATATATATATATATATATATATATATATATATATATATATATATAAAATTTTAAAATTTTTTTGAATAACTTTAAAAATAATTTTTTTTTTTAATTAAATTTTTGTTCGAAAACAAAGAAACTCTTCCAGGAATTTTCTAAATTGTTTAAATTTATCCTATTCCAGCTTACTTTCTAAATAACAATATAATTAATATAACTGGAACTGGCACCCTGGACATATAAAAACTAAACATTTAATTCATCGTATTGAAAATTTGTTTTATAATAAACTGAAACAGCTATGTATTAACAAAGAAAATTCATTTCGAATTGTAGTTAAAAGTCAAGCTTTTTAAAAACACAAAACAACATTGTGGCAACATTAATTTATTTTTCAACATAATCTAAATAACTACCAAAAAAAACTTAACACCTTTAGTAACGTTTTTATTAACGGTAGCGAAGCTTTATAGCGTTGTTATAAGTATAAATTAGTTTAGCGGTTAAAAAAGAAATTAAAAATTTGCGGTTGAAAAATTGTTGTTGTTTTTTCAGAAAAAGAAACTATTGTAATTACACATCAAAAGCGCTGAGTATTCTCTAAAGAATGCTGTGCGTAGGATTATCTCGACTTAAAGGAAAATACCCGCGCTTTTACAGATAACAGCGATATCAACATTGTTGTTCGGTAAGCATTATATAATAGGTATACATTTATTATTTATATATGTTTGTTTTAGGTTTGTTTTTCTTGTATTTTAAAACTGAAATTATATACGTCAATGAACTACTTTAATAATTAAATACAGTAATATACAATTTTTTTAAAATTCTTTATAATTATGCGACCTGAGAATAACACGTTCTACCTAAAGTTTTCTTTGTTATGAGAATTAAATAATTAAATATAAGACTTGATTATATTATAAAATGATTCAAGCTAAATAAGTAATTGTTAATATTAAGTTTATTTTTTTATATCTATAAAAAAAATCATGGTCATTTGAAGTTTTATAAAAAATCTTTAAACGTAAAATTCTTATGATTTACAACTTTAGAAAATTGTTAATCACTATTTTTGGTCGCAAATATTGCCGAGAAAAATAAAAGATGCACTGTTTACATCCATTGAGTTTTTTGACAATTACAACAAAGTTGCTTCTTTTTTTGTTTACATTGAGAACTTTAACACCTGAACACACAGTTTTTAAGAATGATTCAAATTCTAAAATTTTTATTAAGTTTTTGTTAATAATGGGATTTAAAAACCACTTTCTTTTTAAGGAGTTTAAAAAAAGAAAAGATGGATGAAAAATTTCAGTATGAAGTACTCGGCATAATCCAGAAGAATGAAATGTATGTGCGTTTTAAGACTGCGTGTCACTTTGTAGCTTTAGAATTTTATCGTAAAATATTTCACGATCCGTGCTACGCGGGTTTTTCAAAAGAAGGATCGCACCTTTACAATGAGTTGCAGGCTTTTAAAGGGTGCTTATCTCGCCTTAAAGGAAACGTACTAAATAACAGAGAATGGAGTTTTCTCTTTCCAGAAAACCAACAAACTTTGTCAGAAACGTTCACATTAAATCTAATACGTACAATAATAAGGTATTGCGTTTGTGACGTTAACAACTCCGCAGATATTTTTGCACTAAGCAAGTACGCCGATAATTTATCTGAAGAAGGTAAAAGGTTGCTAACAGTCGTAGAAAACATTCATGCTACGGTTTCAGATAAGAAAACCAAAGAACTGATCTTATCCGACAATGGTTCTAAAATGTTATGGCAGTTGTTAAATCAAGCTTTAGATGAAATCAATTTTGATCAAAGCGAAATTGAAAAAATAAAACATGCCGATTTAGACTTATACCAAGATTTTAGACTCTCACTTATAACTTCACAGTTCGAAGTGTTGCTTGATGAATGCAATGATATTCTAAAGTCAGTTAGTTTAAACTACCTTGCAGTTGAAAAATTGATAGAAGACTGTAATAATATTTTATTTAAAGATAAAAACGGATTAATCGAGAAAGATTTTTTTTCAAATGCAGACAAAGTTCTTTCTGAAGCAAGTTCTATTACAGATAAGTTAAATTTTATAAAGCAAACAATCATTGAGTCGATTATTGAAATACCTGATTGGAAAGAAAAAAATCTTGAAGGAGATATAATCATTATTGATGAGAAGTTAGTAAATCTAAAGAATGACACTATTAAACAAACCAAACTTATTAAAAATGTTTTCCATGTCACTTCTTTAAGTATGGTTAAAATTAAGGAAACGTATTTTTTTCAAGAAAACAAAGCAAAGATTTTAAATCAAATGAGATCAATTAGCTCCGGATCTATACGAGATATACGAGTATTGTAGAACATTTAAAATAGTTATTATCTTTTTATTTATTATATTTGTTATGAAAGTTTTTAATTTACAATTGTGCAACTCGACAAGCAATAAGTTCAAAGTTAGAAAAATATTTTTGACTCAAAAAATATTAGAATAAAAAACGTAGTTAACTAATTTACTATTTTTTCTGACTTTTTTAATATTTAAGACTTATTAATTGCGTTTCTTGAATTTTGATTATTTTGGGGTACAATTTTTAAGTTTTTCAAATGTAAATCTTATTTGATTGAAAAGCTTTCAATATAAAAAGCAATTGTATTCATTTGCATATTAAAGCGAGTGTGTGGATCATAGCATAGCAGAGAAAGCCGTCTACAGAAAAGTCACAAAATAAAATGCGGATCAACATTTTTTACTATTATTATATACCTTAGAACTGCACAATTTTTTTCAGAGAACCCGTTTAGCTTGAATTATAATCTTGACCAATCGAGGCCGCCAAATATAATCTTGACCAATCGACGCCCGGGGTAAAGCCAAGGATCAAGGATGGGGGGCTAGAGGGGCTATAGCCCCGTGTCCCGCAACTTTAGGGGCCCCAAAAAATTCTAGAGCACATTTTTTTTTTTATAAAAAGACCCCTAAAAACAAATATAGCCCCGGGACCCATGAAGTCTTAATCCGCCACTGGGTAAAGCATCTAGTAGGCGCCCTTTTAACCATGCATGATTTTAAGAAAAATTTAATTTAAAAGCACATGCAATCATGCGGATGTATTATTGTATACGCCTAATAATTTATTTTTTAAAGATGCAAAATAGATATTTACAGATAAATTACAGATGGGAAAATAGGCTGTAAACCCTTTGAATGTATTTGATTAAGAAGACTCAAAACGTTTCCAGGAGTTAAACGCAAAGACTCCTTCAAACGATTAAGATACATAATTTCTTCCGTAATGTTTTCATCTTTGATATCATTAGCGTAGACTTATTTATTAATACATTTGCTCCAATTCACGAACTTTTATCACTTAAGAATCTGCTTCCTAATATTTTAACAAGATGAATGAGTCTTTAGAATGTCAAATCTTGATTGACTTTTGAAATAAAATTAAGGCAAACGTTGCAGATGTTTACCTCAAAGTGTTACTTGGGGCTCTCATAGCAAAAAACTGCATTTGAACAAATTTAAAATGGGGAACGACCTAATTCATTGTGGTTCATTGTAAAGTCATTAACAATGACTTTACAATGGGGAACAATAGGAAGCGACGACTTCGAGAGCTTTTATCTCTTTGTGCTCTATGTGTTTTGATTTGATTACTCAGTTTCTTGTATTCGGCTTTGATTTCACCATGCCAGCGGAGAAAACATCGATCTCCAGCTAATCCTTGACTTTTGCACCCAAATAGAGAGCAAGGAAAACAGCGAATTTATTGATGTGATCTTGTAAATTTTGCTTGATTATTTATTGAAACCTGATTCAAAGACAATCGATTTACGGTTGCTAAATAAACATCCCCTTGTATGGCGCTGCGGAAGTTTCTCATTACTGATTCTCTCATCCTAATTGACAATTTTAATTTTAGTAATACCATCATCCAAAAAAAGATTGATATATTAAATAGATGTTCATCAAACCATTACTAAAATTGATCAATGATTAAGGAAACAAATTAATTGCATATGTCATTGTAAAGTTACAGCTTTATGCCGTTGATAAATACATTTGATCTCAGACATATATGTATTTTTACAAATTATACTCAAGCTTGTGTTAGTACTATTGCTCTCTAATTTATCAAGAAAACACTACATTGATGCCCTGTAGTAATTTGTCAAGAAAACACTACATTGATGCCCTGTAGTAATTTGTCAAGAAAACACTACATTGATGCCCTGTAGTAATTTGTCAAGAAAACACTACATTGATGCCCTGTAGTAATTTGTCAAGAAAACACTACATTGATGCCCTGTAGTAATTTGTCAAGAAAACACTACATTGATGCCCTGTAGTAAATTGTCAAGAAAACACTACATTGATGCCCTGTAGTAAATTGTCAAGAAAACACTACATTGATGCCCTGTAGTAAATTGTCAAGAAAACACTACATTGATGCCCTGTAGTAATTTGTCAAGAAAACACTACATTGATGCCCTGTAGTAATTTGTCGTCACATTGATGTCCTGTAGTAATTTGTCGTCACATTTTCTCTCATTTATTGTGCTTGCTCTTCGCTACTTATTCTTAAAAATGGTATAAAACTAAAATCAATATCTTTATCATCACTAAATAAACATAATATTTATTAGTCTAATGGCAAATTAACAGTAAAGTCATGTTTCTGCAACATGTTTTCTGTTTTCTAAGTAAATAATTACGCTACGGCTGTCTGATTATAATCATTATTTATGAATTTCAATAGGGTAGGGTGGGGTAATCTGAGCCTATTTTTACCTATTTCTGACTTAAAGAAAAAACCATGTTTAGGTATCGGCTTTCTGACAAAAGATGCCTTAAAATCATAATTAGACATCTTGCTAAACAAATTTAACCAAAAAACTATTACTTAATATACTAACAATAGGTCTGAAAAATCTGACATACATTCTATATGCCCGCACTTTTATTATAGTATATATATATATATTAATTTAAAAAGTAGTCTTAAGATATTTTTATTTAAAAAGAAAGTGCATAAATACACAGCACAACAATAAAAATTAAAAACTCAGAGAAATAAAAAAATGGTGATTAAAAACAGAAATAATAATGTTTTAATAATGTGTTTTATAAAAAAATTAACTATTTTTTTGATCACTGCACTTTTCTGGTAACATTCGTGCTATTTTGGGCACTTCTTAGATCTTTTTAGGTATTTCTTTACAACTTTAGTAGAGGTAATAGTTTTTTTTGGACATTTTTTTTTTAACTTGGTTTTTTTCCTCTCTAACTTTTTGTTCCTCAAGTAACCGTCATTTGACTTCCTCATTTGTAAGGAGTTCTCCACATTTTGCTTTTTGTTGTTCTACTATTGCTACTGTTTTCCTGCTGCTGTATTCCTGCTGCTGTTTTTTGTTGTTCTATTATTGTTGCTGTGCTCCTTTTTTCTTTTTGTTGTTCTATTATTGCAGCTGTTTCTGCAGATACCTTAGGGCATATGATTGACCTCAAAGCTTCTCGCATAGCAGATCTTGGTGTTTGTAATCTTGGAGATTTAGGGCTATAACGTTCAGATGATTGATTGAGAAAATCAATACCTGTTATTCTTCTTTCCATCTTTTCTTTACTTAATGGTGAATTTACCTGTACCGCGAAATCCTGCTATATCGTTTGCTGGAGAGAGTCTCTGACACTCTCCAGCAAAGTACTCTGAGTTGTTTCAATAATCCTGTAAAAGCTGTCTTATCAATATTTTTGTGTTGTGTTTCTCTTGAATACCGCTTTAAAATTTTTCTCCGCTCATTCTTTAATGGTCCAAAGAGAGCCACATCTAATGGTTGTAATGCGTGTGAGCAATTCGGCAAAAGACAAACAACTTAATTATGGTTCTCTATGGCCGCTTTTATGGTAACATTTGTAAAATGACTGCCATGACCATCAAAAAGCAAGAGTATTGGTTCTTGATCTTGGTCAACAAATGGTTTAAAGTGCTCGACAAACCTAAACGTAGAATGTATTTACTTCTATTGAATCATTTGTACTATCTTCAAGAACAACAAAGGCAATAAAAAAATAAGAAAAAAAAAAGTTGGAAGCAAGAAAATAAAAATTATAAAATTCAATTAAAATACCAGTTTTCAAAAAGAAAGTCTTGCATCCATCCACTTGCTGTTGCCCCAAAAGCACGTCCTAGTGGTCCATTTTCTATCCCTTTAGAATGCATATAGCCTTCTCCCTCAAAAATAACAAATGGTGGAAGATATCTTCCATCTGCAGACACACAGAACAGCACAGAATAGATAGCTTTACCAGAAGAAGCAGCCAGTTCATAAGCATCTTTGCTTTTTGGATGTACAAATACTCTCTTCGTTAAGTGATTTGTGGAGAGCCCAGTATCATCAAGGTTGTATACTTGGTACAATGTTATCATTATGGATTACATCAGATAAAATAGTAAAAAAATTATCTAGAACTTCACATGTTAAACTTTTAGTTCTTGAAAATGTAAGTACCTCAGATTTACGTAATCGAAGTTTATCAACATGACGCTTCCTAAAAGAAATTATTAAACCTTTCCCAGGAATTCCATTTTTAAAAGGAGTTTTCATTCTCATGGCTGTGTACAATTGAGCAACTAAATTACTAATGTCAAGAAAATCCAATGGAAGACCATATCTTTGACAATACTGAACTGCCGCTACAATCATAGTTTCATCATTATCACTCAGCACACTTTTTCAACCTTCACGTTTATTTGCATTAAACTCTTGTTGTTTTATTCTTCGTCTCAATTTTTCTTTAGGAACAGAACATTATTTAGCAGCATGATAGATAATCTTTTTTCCTTTGCATACTAACATAATTGCTCTTTCCAAACTATCAGCATTGTACTTGGGTTTTATTTTTTTATTGTAACATCTTGGCATTTTTTAAATACTTTCTAAAGTAATATTTATGAAAAATCTGTTAAATTTTTAAAGAAATGAATTAGCATTAATCATAACATATCACAAAAAAAATATTTTAACACTAAATAGGTCTAATATAATATTTTATTTGACCTAGGAGAATATATTGTTTCATACAAATAAATACACATGTTTCTTAATATAAATTTCAAAGATATATCTTCAAACATAAGTATTTAATAGTTCTAGTGAATTATTAACACGAAAATAGTTAGGTCTGATGAAATTAATAGGTTTATAATGTTACTAACAACAACTTCGATAATATAATTACATATCATAATATTTTACACACATAGACCCGATTTACCCCATCTGATTACATTTCAAATTTTAAACAAACCATGTGCGTTAGTGTCTTAAAGGTATACTATCATTCAAATATAGTAATTTAACTTTCAAAATAATCATTTTTCAATACATCTTTATTTGATATAAGTATAAACATATGTTTCGAGTTTGCTCCATATATATTTTTACGCGTTTGCCAATGATAATGTTGATTAAAAAAAATTATAAAATATTAATTTAGTTATGTCAAGGAGTTATAATAGCTTAGCTGGAGGGAGAACGAGGTCAAAATACGTCATTCTCAAAGAACAGTTTTAGTAGTAACAACTTTTTATTAAACACCGCTATCATAATTTAAAGTTAACCAATCACGTTCCACTTTTAACAAAAGCTTTAGAATCATATTGTTTCAAAACGTCATAACACAGTGCGCACCCGACGTCAATCCGACGTCGGATTTACGTACGATTTTCACCAGCGATGTCAAAAGACCTATTCCGACGTTGTTCCGATGTCAGTAAAATGACGTCGGGCGATGTCTTTATCTCAACATCCCCTGACGTCGTTTCGATGTATTTTGACGTTGTTTCGACATCTTATAAAAGACGTCCAAAAAACGTCGCAGTACTGACATCGATCCAACGTCGATAAAAAGATGTCGGGCAACGTCATAATATTAACGTACTCCGATGTCTTTTGACGTCTTCCGAGGTCAATCCAACGTCCTTAAAACGACGTCGGAACAACGTCGTAAGACATCGCTGATGAAAATTTAATCCAAACCCAACAATATGTGTGCAATTGCGCTCTTCAATAAATATGTGAACTAAGCGTGTTTTTTATTAATGGAAAGAAGTTTGAATAATGGTTGATAAAACATCATGAGGTTTTGTATGATGCACTAGCATATTTTTTTAACTATTAACATTTTCGAGTATACATTTTTTATAATATATATCTATTCGTTTTAATATTTATATAATATTTAAACAAAATTATTTCTTATCAAAGTAATAATTCCCAAATAGCTACAAGTATAAATTACTAAATAAAGACGATAAGTAATACATCCCTGTGGTGTAGTGGTAAGCGCGTAGAATTTAGTTTCTTGTAGACCGAGGTTCGATTCCTGCCTGTGACAACAATTTTTAGTTTTCAAAAAACACGTTGGATTTACATCGGAATGCCGACCTCGCGCGATGTCAGTTTATCCGACGTCAAATAACATTTCCATTTCCAACGTAAACCCAACGTCGATCCGACGTCGAGATCCGACGTCGCTCGACGTTCGTTCGACGTCGAAATGCCCACTGGGAAGCAATTGAAACATCGTAAATTAAAATAAATTGAAGTTTAAAAAATTCGTAAACAATATTTAAAGTCAGTTTGTTGTTATTTTTTTGTTGTGCTTTTTGAACGACTAATAATAAATTTCTAGATTAGAATTGAATTAATGGGTAGATAAGAATTGGTAGTATTTTTGCCACGTATTTTATATCTCTTTTTGTATTTTATATCATGTATTTTATATCTCTTTTTGTACTTTATATCATGTTTTTTATACCTCTATATTTAGAATAAAGCAATTTGCTTTTAAATCCAGCAAAAATACTCCAACACAAAATAAAATCCTGGATGGATTTAATAAGTTCCTGGCCAAAAGAACAGTCTTAAAGAACGTAACTAACCTATAGCTGAACAGGCAAGCAAAAATTAAGGTTCAAGTAGGTAGTAGAGATTGTCTAAAACTTTGATATTTATACCTATAATTGAGGTACGCAAAAAACAGTTACTTCACCTTATTCGCGATTTATGTTTTAATTAACTTCTTGAATGATCGAATAGTTGTTAAAAACATATCCAATAAACTTTTTTTTATTAATCCATTTCGATTACAACTCTCAAGGCTTACTAATTACATTTCAAAATTTTTAATTTTTTTGCAAAAGCACCATTTCAAGTTGCTCCTGGAATAATTATATTACAAAGATTGTAACGCGGTTTAAATCCTTTTTCGGCTTCGTTCTTTCCAGCTAAGCTATTATTCCTCCTTGGTTATGTACATTGCTCGAAGTGGAGAAAATAAAGTAACGGGATGGTATTCGGTAAATGAAAAATAATCGCCTAATTATCGTTATGCATAGAGATTTATAAAAAAAGATGACGAGATGGCACCCTGCCTCACTTCAAATACTGGTTATGTACGATTATTACAAGGCGAAATGGTGCTTTTGCAAAAAAATGAAAAATTTTAAAATTTAATTAGTAAGCTTTTAGAGTTGTAATCGAAATGGATTAATAAAATAAAAGTTTGTTGGATTTTTTTACAAACTCGTAAAAAAAACCCGATAATTTAAAACAAATCCGATTGTTAGTGTTAGTGATTGTTAGTGGAAAACCGAAAAACTTTTTATTTACTGGTATTTAATTTATGCAACAAAGAATTCGAATTGAAAGTAATTTGTTTATAAAGTTTACTGACTCTGTTTTTTAATCGTTTACGCAATAATTTATTATTTCAAGATGGCCGGAGTATTTCAAAAAAAGATACTAAATACCGGAAACAGTTTTTTAAATGGGGCTAAAAGTTATGATTATTTATGCAAAAACGACTTTGGTAGAAAAATTAACACTACCATAGGTTATCTAAATCTAACGTGACATTATTGTTAAACATACTCATTTAGGTGTGGTATTAAAAATAGTAACTTCAATTTTCATAAAATATTGGTTTATCATGAATAATTTTTCAAATAATGTCTTCTTAAAAATGGCAAGTTACATTCATTGAAAACAAACACCAATACGTGCTTTTATGAAAAAATCAAATTCATAGACTTATCTATAGCCAAGCCCTAAGGTATTTTATGGTAAAAGTTGCATCTTTTCTAAATAAAACTACGCTTGACGATTTGTTATAGTCGCATTACTTTTACCAGATTATAACAGTAGTTAAAATAATCTTTCCATATATACCAAATATGTCATAACTTTTGATGGAAAAACTTATATATATTGTAATTGAAAAAACTAATATTTTTGTTCGGAAAAACGTGTATCAGGCCTTAGTTGCATTGAGTAATGTTGTTCTCAATATGGGGTAATATTGAAATTAGTATGTTTTGTGCCGTAAATGTTTATTTACATTATGAGAAGTAAAGTTACCCGTGTAGTTTTGACAAACAAAACAGAAAAAATATTTTAAAAGTATACTAACTCTAACCTATATTTTCGTTTTAAAAATTAGTACCATTAAAGAGTTGTAAAATTGCCGAAAAAATGAATCATTGTTATTTAAAAGGTTTCAATTAGCTTCAGTTAGTGTCTAATTAAAGATATAAAAATGTTAATTAATGATTAAAAACTTTTTACAATATTAAAGAATCGCTTAACTATTAAGCTCTATAACACATCAATCACTCAATAACTGATACCAACGATATCTTGAAGCGTTGTAATTTACCAACAAGTATTTCCAATTTACTAGTATTACACAACATCATTAGGTGTGGATTTTAACTTTCTGTAAGTGTCAATTTTTAGATCTGTTGACATTTGATATTCAAGGGCAATTTTAAAGGTGTGTAAGGAATGAGGAGGAGGTGGGTTTAAAGGGGAATGGGGTTTTGTTATTCTTTACCTTCCCCCCAAAAATTTATTCTTTTACTTATAGTAAAAAAAAACATTTTAGTCGGATCTGCATCATATAATTCTTTGAAAGAAATGATTTGAAAGCCTTTATGAATAATGAACAGTTTAAATTTTCTTCTCTGTTCAGAAAAAATCGTTGAAAAAAAGTTATTTCTAGTGGTTATACCTAAAAGCTGGCCCGGCCGAACCCGGCCCGGTATAAAAACCTAATACCCAGCCAGGATTAAAAAAGTTTTTTTTTCAATATATAAACAAACAAACTTATATAATTATTATATCAAGCTCACAAAAATATTTATTGTTTGAAATTTTTTTTACAAAAAAAAAAGAAAAACATAAACTGGTAACATATCATTTATTTACGCATTTGCTTCATGAAAATATCGTGTCAGAAGATTGACACGGCGCGCAGATATTATGACACAACGATTGCACTGATTGCTATGTGACCATTTTAAGTAAGCACCACGGGGTTTAACACAAAGCGGAATGTCATATATATCTTCGTTATCAATGTTAGCGCACATTCGGTGTACAAATCTAGCACGAATATATCGACGGTATAAAGCTACAGCTTTCTTATCTACAATATGTCCACAACTATTTTTATTGAGTTGTTGAAGTGCATTAAAAGCAACTTTGTCCCAAACTCCAAATTTATAAAGATGACCATAAGATCATATACCTCTGAAACATATCATACTTCAAAGTATTACTCCCATTACCCCTAAAAGAACCCGCAAAACCCAACTGTTTTTTCGAAAGTGTTGTCAATTAAGAATGTCCAGTGGTTGCTTTTAACGTGAAGGGGTAAAAAAATTAAGTGGTACTTGCATAGACGGATTTTTTTATAAAGCTAATCAAAGTTTTTTGGGCCATTGTTGAGCCAAAAAAAAGGTAGGACATAAATTAGATTGCGCTTTTTTTTTTACATATGTAACGCGATTGGGTTAAATTCTTCATAGAAACAATCACTTTTTTTGCATTTTTGCCATTTTTGGTTTCAATAATTATCTCATCGCTTCCTATAAAAACCGTACAACTTTATAATATAGACACTCTAAATGATTTTATTGTAATCTTTTAACCAATAAAAAGCTAAACAAATGTCTTTTGCAAAAACAAAGATTTTCCGAAAAAAAAAAAAAATCGACTTTAAGGTTGGACCGGGCCGAGTTTAGGCATAACTAGCTATTATCGTCTTTAAGTGATTCTTTTTTTTCCAAAAGGAAAAAATCACCTATATTTTATTAAAGAAACTTCTACTAAAGAAATCTTTTTTTTTGGACTTTTACTAAATGCTGGTCCACTCCACAAAGTCTTTGAAACGATTCAGCGCGCTCATTATAGTTTTTCTTTTAATACTCATATTACGAATGAAGCTATTTCTATATCCAGTTTGCTGGTATAAAATTTTTTTTGATAGTTACCAATTTAAAATTAGGCAAGACATAAAATAAAGAAAATAACAGTTATATTGTATATCCGGCCGGAAATGACATTGTTTTATTATTCGTCCAGAAAATAAATCTTACATCTTTAATTAAGTTATCGCGGCTTGTAAAACTAGATGACATAAACTATTGCGGTTGTGAAATTAATTATTGGTTTTGAAAGAAACTGTTATATAATTACACTTTAAAATTTTTTAGAATATTTATATAGCATCGTATCTCTGCATTCGGATAAATACGTTCCTAGAGATAAAGGCGATCTCTTCATTAAAGGTAAGAACAAAATTATTTATTATTAATGTTCATTATTCATTTGCTATTTATTATATTTGCTTTTTTTTTTTTTTTTTTAACTCATGATTTTTATTTAAAAGTTTTATTCAAATTAAATAATGGAATGAAGCAGTTAACTTGAATATATTTTAATATCAAAATGTTACAGATAGCGAAATTAATCATTTATGAACCATGTATTTTAGGCATAACATAAAAAAGTTTTTTTTATTCTTGCTTATATTAATTAAAAGCTGGGCTAACTTAAAGGATTATTATTTTTGCTGTGTTTATCGAAACGTCGATTATGTGATACTATTTTAAAGAATTAGGTACTCATTGAGTGAAAACGCAAATAAATAATAAAATATATTTATGTTAACGCAATTAAGTAAAACTCAACCTATTTGGTTCAATTTCCTATTTAGAATGGTATATCCGTTTTATATATATTTAAAATGCAACAATCGCAAATGATGATAAATTTTATTGATTAAATTAGTTATAAAATTATGTAAAAAAATATTCAAAATTTTTTAACGACTGTACCATAAAGAAAGCATAACGACAGCAAAGTTTTTGACAATTACAATAAAATAACTTTTTTTATATTAATTAAGAGCTTCGTCTTTTACTGAAAAAGTTACACTCGCTAAAATTTTGCTATAGTGTTTTGTAACAAGATTAGAGTTTTAGTAATTTTTTTTTAGAACAAATAAAAAAATGGAAGAAAAAGTGACGCATGTAATGACGTATGAAGCACTTGGCATAATCCAGAAGAATGACATGTATGTGCGTTTTAAAACAGCGTGTCACTTTGTAGCTTTAGAATTTTATCGTAAAATATTTCACGATCCGTGCTACGCGGGTTTTTCAAAAGAAGGATCGCACCTTTACAATGAGTTGCAGGCTTTTAAAGGGTGCTTATCTCGCCTTAAAGGAAACGTACTAAATAACAGAGAATGGAGTTTTCTTTTTCCAGAAAACCAACAAACTTTGTCAGAAACGTTCACATTAAATCTAATACGTACAATAATAAGGTATTGCGTTTGTGACGTTAACAACTCCGCAGATATCTTTGCACCAAGCAAGTACGCCGACAATTTATCTGAAGAAGGTAAAAGGTTGCTAACAGTCGTAGAAAACATTCATGCTACGGTTTCAGATAAGAAAACCAAAGAACTGATCTTATCCGACAGTGGTTCTAAAATGTTATGGCAGTTGTTAAATCAAGCTTTAGATGAAATCAATTTTGATCAAAGCGAAATTGAAAAAATAAAACATGCCGATTTAGACTTATACCAAGATTTTAGACTCTCACTTATAACTTCACAGTTCGAAGTGTTGCTTGATGAATGCAATGATATTCTAAAGTCAGTTAGTTTAAACTACCTTGCAGTTGAAAAATTAATAGCAGACTGCAATAATATATTATCAAAAGATAAAAATGGACTAATCGAGAAAGACTTTTTTTCAAATGCAAACAAAGTTCTTTCTGAAGCAAGTTCTATTACAGATAAGTTAAATTTTATAAAGCAAACAATCATTGAGTCGATTATTGAAATACCTGATTGGAAAGAAAAAAATCTTGAAGGAGATATAATCATTATTGATGAGAAGTTAGTAAATCTAAAGAATGACACTATTAAACAAATTGAACTTATTAAAAATGTTTTCCATGTCACTTCTTTAAGTATGGTTAAAATTAAGGAAACGTATTTTTTTCAAGAAAACAAAGCAAAGATTTTAAATCAAATGAGATCAATTAGCTCCAGATCCATACGAGATATACGAGTATTGTAGAACATTTAAAATAGTTATATACGAGATATACGAGTATTGTAAAACGTTAAGTTTAAAAAGTTTTTTGGAGAATGGAAGAAAAGCAATTATAAACTTTTTCAGTTTTAACTTACCTTTCTAAAAATTTGATGTCATTTAAAATAACATCAAAGTTTTAAAATTCTAGATATTATTCATAAAACTTTTTTATTTTATAATATTTTTTTTAGAATATTTGAATTTTGATTACTTTTGTGTAGAACTCTCTTTTTTAATGTTTTTTGTACTTTCTTGAAAACTGTCTTCTAAAATAAAAATTTTCTATATAAATTGTGATTGTATTTATTTGCGTGGGTGGTGACCAGGGGCGATTCCTGTATCAAATGACAAAAAGATATGGGTTCCACTATATTTAGAGCTGCAAGTGAGCGTAATTCGTTGCGCTGAAAAAAGTAGAAAAAAATTCTAGATATGATAAATCTAAGGCCATTGAAAGAATTTTATGTGTGACAGGAATAGTGTCGAAAAATGAATTTCAAAATAATGTCGAATATTTTAAAAAGCCTAATGTCGTAAAAAAAAAACAGAATGGTGTCGCAAACGAGTTAAAAGAATAATGTTGAAAACAAAACAAAAAAAGAGAATAATATCGCAAATGAAAAAAAAGGAATATTGTCGCAAATAGTAAAAACGGAATAGTGTCGCAAATAGTTAATTTTGGCAATTGTTTACTCGTTTTGCTGGTTTTTACAGTATACGGCCTTTACAGATAAAAAAGCAAAGAATATTGAGAAAAAAAATTGCTACCAAACCCCAAACCCTCAGTCAATGTAGCGGTACTCCTTTGCGGCAGCAGGCTATAAGATAGTTGTTGTATGTGCTGAAGCGACAGGCAGCAGGCTATTTCAGTATGACATCAATGATATTATGGGAGAGTGGAGATAAGTGGGACACGTAAATTTTTTTTTAGGGTAATTGCAATATTTTTTTTATTTGTTGTATAAACTGAATCAAACAAGTTTTTACAAATAAAACTTATTTTTAGGTACATTGGGACAACCTAAAATTTCGAATTAGGAGTGGTGTCTAAAGGCGAGTTTCCACTCATCCGTTTTTTCACGGGAACGGGAAAGGACGGGAAAAATAATCACGTGGGCATGCGTAGTATAAGTTTTAATATGTCCGAAGTAAAACTACGCATGCTCACATGATTATTTTTCCCGTTCCTATCCCGTTCCCGTGAAAAAACGGATGAGTGGAAACTCACCTTAAATACCGTTATTTAATGTAAACAATTAATTTTCTTTCCTTTTATTTAGCAGAAATGGCTTTCTTTCCCTGCGTGCGCTAGAAGCCCTAATTTTGAAATATACTTTAAAAAAGTGTTTAAATTGGGGTGAAGTGGGACAGAAAAAAATATATATGTATGCCCCGTTTCTTCCCGTCGCCATTTAATTATTTCGATTGGTGCAAGCTCTGTAACATTTTTATGTCGATTAGGTGATGTTATGATTTCATCAGTTTCTATTTAATAATTTGTGTTAAATTGTTGTTTTAAATTTATTTTTCCCACTTCTACTCACACTTGTTCCACTTTACCCCAAATGGCACAAAGATATTGCAATTACCCTAAAAAAAACTTTACGTGTACCACTTCTCCCCACTCTCACTTCCTACCAATAGATAAAATATATTAAAAAATACTTTTTAAAAAATTGAAGGATTGTCTGCCCAAGCCAAAACTCTCTTTAATTTATTTACACTTCGACGTTAGGGAAAGGGTAGGGTATAATCTGACCCCTAGGAAAACTTTATTCAAAAATTAGTCAGCAAATTTGAACCATGGAGTCGCCCATTTAGGGTTTTTTGTTGGCAATTTTTTTTAGGTCACAGTCATCAAAATATTTTTTTTTTTAGCCTTAGTCGGCAAAAAAAAGCTGCATCATCCTTCCCCCCCCCCCATCTCCTTTAAAATTTCTTCTGGACGGTCCTGACTACACTGCACCTATCCCTAATAGTAAGTCAACGAATATACTCTACCTGCGTTAGCTGACTTTTAAATTTAAAAATCAAATATTAAAAGCTTAGCTTTTTTAATTTTTATTGAATTGGAATATTTTTCCCATTTTTTTTTCTTTTATTAAACGTGAGAATAGACGATATTTAATTACAGTCTATTCGTACGTGAAAAACGTGCCAATACACACTCCGTAATTTTAAATAAGTGTAATCATTGCATTTAATAAATTTGAATTATAATTAAAAAAAATCAATATATAACCATAATTACACAAAAAGTTTACAAAAAAAAAAAAAAAATGATGGCATAAATCCAACGATGGTTGCGATTTTTTTTATTTCAGTTTCATTTTTTATAAAAAAAATGCAACAAGCTTTTTATAAAAACGAAACACATTAGAGGTGGTTGCAAATTATTAGATTAATTTCTGGAAGTTACAGACAATTAGTAAAGTTGAAAAAAATTGTTTGGGTACAATTTGAAACAACTATTTAATTTAATTGCGGTCAACGTATTTAGCAAGTAAGCAATTTTTGGTAAATTAATGTATATGTAAATACATATGTACCAATTACAAATTGACCGTTGTTATTTAACAAAAACGTAAATTAATATCCATTAAAGTATTAATTAAGTTTTATATCAATTAAGGATTTAGATTGAATATATATATATATATATATATATATATATATATATATATATATATATATATATATATATATATATATATATATATATATATATATATATATATATGAAAAGTTATTATAATAATTAAAAAAAATATGTTAATAGCAAACAAAAAAACATAATAATTTCAATAATAATGTGAACAAATAATAATTTTAATAATACAAAATTGTAATAAAGAATAAAATGCGTTTAATATTACAAAGTAACAATAAGATATAAACTATATAATGTATAAAAATGATAAATAAACTTCGATAAATTCAAATAAAATGATTACGCGTATAAAAAACTAAATGTGTTTAATTCAATAATCATAGTAATTTATAATCATTCAAATAAGAAAAATGATAAAAAATAATAATAAATGTTGGTATATAATAATTAACAACTATAACATAAGTTACAGCGATAGTAAAAATTAAGGGCATAATTAAAAATAAAAACAGCGATTTTTACAATATTCTTTTAGTAAAAACTCTTACTGTTTTAATTATTTTATGATTATCACAATAAGAATGGCATAATTAAATTGATAGTAATAAAATTATTAACAAGATTTTTTAAATAACTTTTACTTATTAAAAATGTAGCTTGGTTCTATTTAATTTTTTTTTAATTGAAACTTATTTCATAAATTTTTGTAAAAAAAGATGAGTTCACGGTCGTTTAGATATTAGTAACAAGCGCTGTTTAGGTACGCATGCGTAAGAAAATACGAAGCTTTTAAAATGGCTACGGTTCTTAACTACAGAAAATATTTTATATGGCAACAGTTTATTTGTTAATTAATTTCTGAAAAGCCAATGATATAGCCTTATTTTTAACGTAAATCAATAAAATAATACAAAAATTTCACAAAAATATAAATAAATAGAGGTAACAAAAATCTTTGCGCGCTAAAACTGTATTTTTACTTAATACTTTTTTAGTGTAAATTATTAGGTACGTGGACTGATTTTTTAAAATTAATCAAATACCAGAATGTTATATATCATTAAAAAACACTCAAATACAGTATTTCAAAGGTGAAAAATTATGAAAATCGGACAATTCCATCAAAAGTTATGACGTTTTAAAAGACGTCTTTTAAACGTCTTATATACGTTTTAGACGTCTTTTGTACGTTCAAAAGATGTCTTTTTTAGGTCCGGTGCCCACTGGGAAGTAGCAAATTTTCGATATATGGATTTCTTGATAAAACTGTGGTCAAAAAATTTATACACCACTAGTTACTATTTTTCCAAGTATCAAAATATATTTTTTATTTTTTATATTAAAATTAATTGTTTTAGTAAACATTGAAATATTTAAAAGAATGAAATTTTGATAGGGTGTGTTAAACCTTATTCAAAATCCAACACCCGACTTTGATATAGACTTGTAATATTCGCTAGTGATGTGGAATAAGATAATAACAATTTTTTGTATATAAATATTTGTAATTTTAAAAGAAAAACACTTTTTTATGAAAAAAAGTGTATTTTTGTGAGATGTAGGTGGTGAATTAGCACCCCCTCCGGATCCCTGGATGCGCCCTTGACCTAAAATCTAATTGAAAATTATAGCCCTTTTTTACACCTATCTTTTAATACCAAGTTATAGATATTTGAAGGGGTGTAAGCCGCCCCTCTTCCGCCAAATACCTGAAAAAAGTTTTAATGAGAATTTAACAAAATATGTTTAAAAATGCTTTTTAAACACATATAAAATAGTATAAAAAACTATTTTACCACGTTACAATGGTGTATAAATTGCCTTCATGAAAGGGGGTGTAAGCCGCCCCCTTCCGCCCCGTACCTAAAAAAAAATTTAATTAGAATTTAACAAAAAAAAGTTTAAAAATGCTTTTTTAAACACATATAAAATAGTTTAAAAAACTACCATGTTACAAGACTGCAAATAGATACAGCAAGTTTTGTGGCTTGCAAACAAGTACAACAAGTTTTGTGGCTTGCCATTAGGTAAAGCAAGTTTGTTGTTGAACTCCAACCTAAAAAAAACAAAAAGCAGCAAGTCTTTTGAAATAAAAAAAGTAATTAACTATTGTCTTGGCTTTTAGTAAATGATTTATGTTTTGAATTCTATTTATGAACTAAATAAATCATTTTTAATGATAGACACCATGTGAAGGTAAGCCAGAGCCATCTATCAAAAAAATTTGCAAGCCACAAAACTTGCTGTACCCATTTGCAAGCCACAAAACTTGCTGTACCTATTTGCAAGCCACAAAACTTGCTTTACCTAATGGCATGCCACAAAACTTGCTTTACCTAATAGCAAGCCACAAAACTTGTTGTACTTGTTTGCAAACCACAAAACTTGCTGTATCTCTTTGCAATCCAAAAACCTTGAAGTACTTGTTTGCAAGCCACAAAACATGCAGAACTTTTTTTTCAAGCATTTTTACATTATTTCATATTCAAACTAAGAAAATATTAACTTATCTAATACAACATCAGCAGCTAGCTGGATTTTTTTCATCTTATGCTCAGCAGCTTCAATATCAGTTTTATCTTGTTTCCAGTAAGAAATAGTGTAAATTCTATCATTTTGTCTTTTGTTTAATTTTTCTAGTCTACCATTATAAGTGATAGATATTGATGAGTCAGTATCATACCATTCATGACAGAGTTTTCTGCCAACAATTCTTTCAGACATCACATCATCTAAATCTTAAAGTTGTTTTGCAGATGAGTGTTTGTATAAATTCATTTTTTCACTGATAGTTAAGATTTAAAAGCATTATGAAACATTTTAAATAAACCCTTACATAAAAAAAATAAAAAAAGATTATGCACTGCTAACAAAGAAATAGTTTTTTAACATACCAACCAAAACAGATGTAGATGCAGCTAAAAATCAAAAATATATATATACAATTAACAAAATGACTTTTTTAGAAAAATCAAAACACTGCTGAAAAATAATTAGTTTTTAAACTTACTATAGGATGTAATCAACAAAAAAATATTTGATTTAGGCATTAAATTATTACAGAGATTAAAAAGTAATAGCTTTTAAACTTACTAACTGTGGCAGATATAGATTAAAAAAAGGTGTAACCAAAAAAAAAAGTATTAGAAATTGTCCTTACATACACATATTACATACAAAGTGAACAAAGGAATAGCTTTTAAACTTTCTAAATGTGGTAGATGTTGATGAAACTAAAAGTAAAAAAAAGCTGTAATCAATAAGAAAATTGAATTTGATATTAAATCTATAGAATAGCCATAACAAAAGAAATGATATCGACATCCGCAGCTGGTGTCGATAAAGCCTAATGTAAAAAAAGTGTAATTAATAGAAAAAAAAGAAGGATATAGGTGCAACTAATATCACGAAAAGATACAATATAAAAATAAACAAAAAAAAGTTGAAAATGGGATTAAATCAATACTCTGCTGAAAAAGAATTGACTCTTAAACTTACCAACTGTTTCAAATGTAGATGGAACTAAAAACAAAATGGATGCTATCCACAAAAAAAAAAGAAATTGGCAATAAATCTTTTACAAGTTAAAAAATAATAGCTTTTAAATTTACTAATCACAGTTGTTTAAGAAATGACTTAATATAAAAAACATATGAATTAAACCAAAGCATACATCTTTAAATTTCTACTTATATAAAAATGACCGAAATTGCAATATACAAACTTACCAGTGAAAGGCTGAGTTGATTGGACTAAAATTAACAAGAAAACTGTATATCAAAATAAAAAAACACCTTAAATTTGACAACAGTAAGTGAATAAGTAACAACAATCAAACAAGTTCTGCATAATGTGCAACAACTTTATTGATAAAGTATATAATGAAAACATAATTACACAAGTAAACATTAAGAAAGGTTGTATAATGATTTAAACAATAAAAGAAAGATTATAAAAAAGTTATCTTTTGTATTAAAAAACTTTTAAGGCATCAAAATGTTGATTTTATTATGAATAACATTAAAGATTATATTGTTCATGTCATCCCTATATGTCACTATTATCTATCATATCTATACATCTATACATCACTATCATTCTATACATCTATACATCACTATCATATTGTATTATCATACTGTATATCACTATCGTATCTATACATCACTATCATATCTATACATCTATTCATCACTATCATATCTATACACCTATGCATCACTATCATATCATATCTATACACTATACACCACTATCATATCACTATACATCACTATCATATATCACTTACGGAATCTCAAAAACTGATGAAATAGAAAGCCTGCATCTAAACAAGAAGGAAACATTAGAAATGTTTGTGTAATGATTTAAAAAATGATAAAAAATGTAAAGAACAAAACATACATAGTTTTTGCCAACAAATCTTTACATACAGTTGTTTAAAAAAAAAAGTTTTCAAACTTACCAACCATAGCAGATGGTAACAAAGCTAAAGGTAAAAAAATTAACCAAAATAACTTTGATTTTGACATTAACTCTATACAGATCTGATAAAAGTTGCCACTAGCAGATGTTGATAAAACTAAAAGAAAAATAAGGTGTCCTCAAATAAAATAAAAAAAGGTAGTAAAATTAAAGTATGGCTTAACAGAATAAGTAGAAACACCTAATAAAAAATTACTTATTTAACTTACCAACTGCATCAGATGACGATGAAGCTAAAGTTAAAAAAGGTGTAATATAAGAAAAAAAATACACATTTTTGACAACAAATCCAATAAAACAATTTTGTAATGAGCAAAGAAAAGTACTGTGTAAATAACAAATAAAATAAAGGCGTAAATAACAAAAATTAGGGGTTACTTAAAAAAAAGTATTGAATAGGTTTTACCTAGTCAATGATTTTTAAAATTTTAACAAAAAAATACTTGTAAAAGTAATAAACAATAGTATTATTATGAAAAAACATATAAACTTACTATCTGTTTGATTACCCAGTTCATTTATATCATTCATTTTTTTAATTACTAACAATCTAAGTGAAACAATATGAAATAAACATATAAGAAAAAAAAAACTCTATCCCCCTCAGCCCCACCTCGGCTATTTTTGAAAACAGAAATTAGGTACCAAAAGTGTTTAAAGAATTAACTAATTGCTACATAATATTTTTTCATGAAGTTTGGCAGGTGCAAAGGAAATGCATGTAGAAACTTATTTAAAAAAATCAAAAAAGCGAAATATAGATTCCTTTAACAATAATTTAACAAGTAAACATCAACATAATTTTCATGAGCAAAAAAGTAAAAAAAAAGGTATGATAATCATATAAAAAATAACACAAAAAACAAGCCTAACTCTTCTTCTTTCTGAAAATATACTATGTGTATATATGTTTCTGAAAAAAAAACCAACAAAAAATTGTTTGTTTAACCCTACTCAAAAAAATGAAACGGGAAATCCGCAAAAAAAAAATCGGAAAAACAGAAATTAGGTACTAAAAGTGCTAAACTGATTTAACTATCTGCTACATAATATTTTTCAATAAAATTTGGTATGTGCAAAGAAAATGCATGTAAAAACTTATTTAAAGAATCAAAAAAGCGGAATAAAGAGTCCTTCGACAAGAATTTGACAAGTAAACACCAACCTATTTTTTATGAGCCAAATGCTCCAAAAAATGGTGAGACAACCGTGTGTAAAAATAGCATAAAAAACGAGCTTAACTCTTCTTCTTTCCAAAAATATACTATGTTTATATATGTTTCCAAAAAGAAACTCCTCAAAAATACGTTTGCCTTAGGCTACCTAAAAAAAAGGTCAAAAAAAACAAGTCACAGAATTTTAGCACAAAATTCGGCTCCGTAAATCGCTATTTCCGCGTACTAAAATTATAGATTTGTTTATTTATTTAAAATAAATTTTCTAAAAATCTGACTGTAGGATTTCAATAATTTTTTTTTTAAAACTTCAGATAAATATGTTCTATATGTTTGATATTTTTCTGGTCATTGCTTCAACTTTTTTTCCGTATAAAAATTTGTTTTTACTGTTATGACTATTTCCTAATATATCTGACTTATATATCTGACTATTTCCTTATATAAGTGCAATTTCATTAATTATTTTGTTATTTACTATTTTTCTGACTATATATATATATATATATATATATATATATATATATATATATATATATATATATATATATATATATATATATATATATATATATATATATATATATATATATATATATATATATATATATATATATATATATATATATATATATATATATACATTAAGCATACAGTATGCTTAATGTGTTTTATATAATAAAAAACAATTGGTTTTTAAAAATTTTTGATAAAAAAATATTTTGATGACTCCCTCAAGACCCTTATTTTTTTTATATAATTATTAGAAACATAACAATTTCCTAATAATTATAAAAATATATATATAAGTGTATTATGTATAAATTATATCATAATGGTCATATCATAAGTATTATGTATAAATTATATCATAATGGGTCTCAAGTGAAGCAAAATTATATGAAAATGTCAAAAAAAATATTGCTAAAAATTGGTAATAATGGACATTTTTCTTTTTTAGTTAATAAAATTCATTTTTTATGGTGGTAATTTTAACATATTTTGATGACTCCCTCATAAACCTTAGGAACTTGTTATGTTTTATTTATTTAGGAACTTGTTATGTTTAAATTTGAGTGTATCATGTTGGGTCCTAAATAAAGCAAAATTATATGAAAATTTCAATGTTAGATTTAACACCATAAAAAATGAATTTTATTAACTAAAAAAGAAAAATGTCCATTTTTAGCAATTTTTGGGAATATTTTATTCATATTTGAAATTTCGCTTAATTTGAGCCGAATTGTCAAGATACACTTTTAAAGATTTTTTTAATTGATAATAATAGGAACTCTTTATATGTTTAAGGGACTGCAAAAATGATTTTTCTTCAAAAAAATTTTTTATTATATAAAACACATTAGAAAGTGACAGCTACATTTTTTTTTTTAAATATAGCTGCCAAAAATTTTAAAATTTTAAAAAATATCTTGAAAATAATAAAT